GAGCCTGTCGTGACTGTTCCTGCTCACGCACAATTATCTCTCGCTCTCGCAGCCCCGCCAGGCTGGGTTCAACGCGGGGCTGGGGTTTCGCAGTGGCTGCTCCAGCAAAGTGCGTGCAAGCACCGAGATGTCTTGCTTCCAGCAAAGTGTGTGCAAGCACCGAGATGTCTCGCTGGGCCAGACACAGCCCGGGAAGAAAAGGTCTCCCTGGATTATCGCTACTGCTCAGCTGCCACCAGCACCAACATCTCTGTTGTTTATGTTCCCACGTTATTTGGAAGATAGCACTGAAAAGAAAGTTTGCCAACAGAGTCATAAATAATGGAGAGCTGCAGCCGAGAAGGCTGGAAGAGAGCGGGGATGTGAGCTAACACAAAGCAAAGCCAAGCGCCAAAGTGGGCAACACAACCCACAGAGTTGCTCTGAGCTCTGTTTTTTCCAGTTCCATGCTCTAAGTACTGTTCCTTGGGGGGGTCATACTTTGTAAGGCAAATAACTCCCTCTCGGCCCTAAGGAACTGAAGGAAAAATATTTCTTTTAGGAAAAAGCATATTTTAAACAGTAAATTTAAATCTCAGGCCAAATGTAGGCTGAGATGTCAGACTCCAGCAATCCTCGTTTACCTAGCCCCAGGAGAGCTGGTTTGTACTGGGGAACAAAGGCTCAATCCCAATGCAGTGCCGATGGTCTGAGTTCCCAGAGGAGACCACAACAACTTAGAAAGCCACGAACCCAGCCCTGCCTGTCACCTCACGTCAAATTCATACAAACTTCTCCTTCAATGGATTTGCTGCTATTTTTATTTGTACATTGAGAAGTTTCCTTTAAGTTTCAGACTTTGAGATCCAAACTCGCACACACAGAGGACAGCTCATGTCAAGAAACAAGTGCCACCAACTTTCACCCCTGGGACCTGATGGGAAACAGCCCTGGGCTCCCTCCGTGGCTCCTTGGCGAGCCCATCTGAAACCTGCTCTGATGATAAAACCCAGATTCAAACTAACCAGGCACGACAGCACGTGGCCGTGAAGTTTGTGTGTGTGCAGCTCCGCTAACAGCACAGGTGAGAACAAAAAGAAGGGGAAGAAAACAGATCTGCAGCGGCAAAGGGTATTTTTTTAATCTCTACGTGTCAATGAGAGTTATGGAAGGTGCGGTGGAAAAAAACAAAAAGCCCAAAATATTTTTCAGCCCAAGGGAGCCTGGGGAAGGGAGGATGACCGTACCTGTCTCAGCAGGGAGGAGACAACGTCTGTGGACTCCCAGTAGCTCGCGTGGAAGAGATGTGGCAAAGCGACCGTTGGGAAAGCCGTCAGAGCATCGGGACAGTAGAGCGCATAGTCGATCCTCTTGGTTCCCCACCATTTGGCAGCAACTAGAAGCAAAAGACTCGTTCAAAGGGGGCTCATGGGCATGCACAGCCTCGGTCACAAACAGCATTTCGAGGCTCTGGCTCCTTGCTCCAGGCACACTGGGAGGTTGCTCCCTGGCTGGTCACACTGCTAAGAGGGAACAACCAACCTAGGGCCACCAGCACTTGAGCTCTCCTTCATCTAAGCAGATAGGAAGGCACTGGAGGGCAGGTATTAATTGGCCATTAGTCCAGACCCTAGGGAAGGGGTCCCAGGCTCAGGGGCAATGAGCCCGGGAATCCATATGCCAAAATATAAGACAGAAATGCATCTCCCTGGAGCTGTGGGAGCAGAAACCCATCTCCATGGAGCTGTGGGAGCAAGGGGGTGTGTGCTCTGCACAGTGCAGGACATGCCCAGGCCACCTCCAGCCCCACTTCCACCTCCTTTAGCTTTCCCCAAGGAATAAAAGACTTCTTAGCACCCAGATGTTGGCCACACTAAAGAGGATCTGAACACCGGGAGCCCCCGTGAGATGCTAAAAGGCACCACAAGGCAGAGCGTATGGCACGTGCTGCCAGGATTGGCAGTCCCCAGCAAGTCCTGGTTGCCCTCCTGGGCTACCATGCGGCAGGCAACCGAGACATCCAGCTGAGCCTCCCCAGGAGCACAGTGGCCAACCAAAGTATCTGGGAGTGCTGGGACCTCATTGCATGGGGGACTGAAAAAATACACTGGGATTTTGGGTGGGCAAGGTTACAGACAACACAAGAAGGGTCTTCTCCTTTGGGGAGTCAACAACTCGCGCAGAAGTGTCCAACAGCCATCGTTCGCCCATGGGACACCATCACACTTCAATGCTGCCCTGGGCTCTGCCCAGACACACATCCCTGGCAAAGAGTGTGTCTGAGCCCAAAACCTCAGCCCCACAGGCGTGGGCTGCTTTCCCCCAGCGAGGAGCCCTCAACACCCGCGCGCTCCAGCCTGGAAGAGCAGCCACGGAAAGAGAAGATGGATCAGATCGAGAGAGCACCAGAAGGAGCTGCGTTTGCATGCAGGTTGCAAGCTGGGGCTTTGACAAGGGTGTTGTCACAGAGGAAAACCAAGCTTGAGAATGTTCCCTTTTCATGGACATCCAGGAAAGCTGCCAGGTGTAAGGAACGATCCAACCAACCCTTCTGGTTAAGGGAAATCTACCTGGTGATGAGCACAGATGCTGACCTGAAGAAGTGGACCCACCAGCTCCTTCCAGAGACCTGCACAAAGCTCCCACCCCAGCACGTGCAGCGGGTCACGGCACCAGCACATCCCCATGGCCCAGCCCTGGCGGTGCCCAGTGCCTGGACCACCCTCATCCTCACGGCCCTCGCTGTGCTGAAGAGCCACGGGAAGGAGGAGGAGGGTGTTGATGGATCAACACGGCTTTTCCAAAGCACACGGGCACCTCCTCACAGCCATTTCTGACTCCCTGTCTTCCAAATTGGCAGCTCCTGGTCATGTCTCAACCCTTCATTTCTCAGGCAAGTCCCCAGCTTGGGTCATTTCAGACTCTCGGCAGGAGAAGGCAGGATTTAGTCTTCCATGCTCAAAAGACAGCGGTGGAGGCAGAAGCGTTGTCCCCAGAGCTGTACCCAGAAGAAGTCTTGCTCTTGCCAAGTTGTTAGCTGTGTTATGATCGATCTTTGGAGCAAAGTGGTAGAAATACTTGTTAAAATGCAATCAGAAAGTGTCTCAGTGAAAGCGCAAAGATTTGCCGTGAAGTTCTGGGACTATCGAAGGAGAGAGAGGAGGTCGACTGGGGCGGATCTCTCCAGAATACCTGTCGTGATGTCCAGGTCGGGGATCCGAAGAGCACGGTCTGCAGCCTGGCTCCACGGCCCTTTGGGCTTTCCTCCCTTGGCGGGGATTTCGTGTTTGTGCTGCCTACGTCTCCTGGAGGAGGTTTGGGTGGGGGATTTGTGAGGGAGGGCGAGTTGGGACAGGAGGCTAAACCCTCTACAGTGATTAAGGTGGTGTTTGGTTTCTAAAAGGAAAAATAAAATAAAAACAAGCAGAAATCACACTTATTATTATGGCACACACATGCCACAGGCAACACCGGTTTCATCCTCCAGGAATTCCCAGTACAAGGGAAGCTGAATCCTACGGAGGGTCCCAGGGAGAAGCCGGGATTTTGCGGTGCCTCTGGACCTCCTCCGGCTCTGTCTGTGGGACAGGCACAGACCGCATCCAGCCCTCGATGCCAGGCTTCGCCTCACCACCGCGCTAATAAGGTTGAGTGCAAGAGCTGCAAAGCCAGAGCCGGGGCTCAGAGGATGTGTCGGCACCGGGGAGGGGAAGGAACGGGCTGTGTGGGGGGGCAGGGAGGGTGCACAGCCCATGCTGGACCGGACTCTTCCTCGCCGATCTCAGAAACGGGTTTTGACAGCTGTGAAGTGTGTGGAGGAATAAATGACCCAAACCAGAAGCTAAATAATTGGGGAGAGGGTGGGGAAAGCAAAGAGAGGCAAGTGTTGCATGAGCCTGATCCTGCCAGCAGGGGCAGGATCCCTCCGTCAGATCCCGCACGCCTTTAGGCATCACCCCGCGTAAACATTTCTTAACGAACAACCGGCGCCCCCTGCTTCCCATCCTGGCTGGCCGAGCTCGGCAGCTCTCCGTGGGTGTGAAACCAGCACAAAAACAAACACCTTCTCCTCCCCCGGGAGCTTTCTTCCCGGGCAGATCAATATTTAGCAAGCGCTTGGCAAGATGTCTTACCAGGACAGACATAAGGATGCGTGCGGGGAGTGCAGCGTCAGTTCTCAGATGGGCTTTGGCAAAGAAAACCTCGTTTGTCAGAGCGCAGGTAGAGTGTGGCCTCAAACAGGGCAAAAAGCTACAGCAGCCCCTGGCCAGTGCCCACAGACCTTCGGCAACTAACACTTGCCTGGGGGAGCGTTGTTAACCTCAGTGATTAATTATGAAGTGAGTCCTTCACAGCCCTGGAGTCTAACACGCCAGGAATGGAGTATCTCTAAATTTTTGCTGCCTTCTAGTGCAAGAGTTTGGGCTGAAGGGTTTTTTTGGTGTGTTGGGGGGTTTTTTGCCTTTTTTTTTTTTTTTAAATTTGTTTGGGGTTTTTTTTTTTTTTTTGGTCCAAATTATCAGAAGCCCCCAAGGACACAGACTGTTTAATCTCACACCTCAGGTGAAATGAAGAAGGGGCTGAACTGTTCTCCACTGTATCAGCTGGGAAGTTATACATGCCTTGGGGAAAATAACAAAAAAATCCCTTTTATTCCTCTGGGATATGGGTCATAACTGGCTGACACGGAGTTACCCTGAGGGCTACAGAAGAGCAGAATTTCTAATGCCAAGTAATAAATAACCCAAACCCGTTCTTCCCTTTCAGCACTACAGAGGGGCTTACTCATCCCCAAAATTTGTGGACCACGTTTAAATTATCTTCATCAAGCCACACGCCACATCCAGCATTATCAGTCTGGTGCTGATCCCTACCGGTTCTGCACAACTTACCAACAGCAACGCAGAAACATCCCTTTGGATTAACCCTCAGACACACAGCAGCCAAACAATGCTCAGAGTTATCAATTATTATAATTATTTTTTTTTAACAATTTCTCACCAGCACAGTCCAACACGCGCAACACAGCAGTGGCAGTGTATTATCATCAAATACACAATTTGTTCCTCCAGGGGATATGATAACACGCAACACCGGCTATGACAAAACCGACAGAATAATCCCAACTTTTTGTTAGAAACAGAAAAGAGAACCCCAGACAGACAGGAGAGACGGACGCTGCGTGGCTCCAGCCCGGCGCATGGCGCTGCGAGAGCGGTGCGGCAGCGTCGGAGGGGGTGAAACACTTACTGTTGGCTATGTTGGAAGCAGTGTAACTGTCTGCCATTCCTGAGACCTGGCTGGCAATGCTGATCTCACTGGCTCTCCGGAAGCCCCTGAACTGAGGGGCTGACATGGGGGTGGACAGGGACGCGCTTTCCATGAAGACGGCACCATGAGACTGAACAACATCTGCTACAAAGTTGAAACAGGGAAATCAAAATATTAGACCAACAGACAAGAGGCCGGGGAAGACGAACTCGAGGGGAGGAAGGAGGTAAACAAGGCTGGGAGATGCAAAAACCTTTCAGAACTGATTGGAATGGGAAAAAAAAAAAAAAAAAGAGAGACATTTCATCAGAGCTCTGGTTTGAAAAGAAAGCAAACACCACAGCAGGCAAAGAGACATGTGGCTGGAGGAGCAGTCTTTGATTGAGAGAAGCAAAAGAAGTCGCTCAAAAACCAAATCGAAAGCCCCAAAGAAAAATCCAGGCAGGCTTATTCAAGCAGCAGTAACAGAAGCATGTGTCATACATACAGATGTGAATATACACAGCTTTATATATTCACATCGAGACAAAATAACCACGGGAAGGAGAACAAAAAACAACCTTAGAAAGGGGATATTTGCTTTCTTGAAACATTTAGACTTAAATTTACATCTCCACGATAGAAGCATTAATGCAAAAAAAAAAAAAAATCAAGAAAACATTTTCATGCCTGGCAGGGACTAAATTTGAACTTGTATTTTATCGCTCATGGATACAGCCAACACTCGTTAAACTGAAGTAAGGGCCACTGAAAGGAAGGAGTCTGGCGCTGAGCACTTACATCTCCCATTGGTGTTGGCGGATGGGGGAGTGCTCAGTCTCTGTGAACAGAGCTGCTTTTGTACAACCTGCAAGTCTGGATTTTTAGATCTCAACCTGAGGTTTAACAAGCGTGGACTAACCCTTTAGTATGGAAATACAGAGAAGGGGGATTATTTAAAGTCTTGCTGCCATGGACCTTACAGGGAAACGGACCTAACGTGTTCAGGACTGGCAAACCCAGAGATGCTGAAAGTCCCGATAAAATCTCTGCATTGCAGTTTTCTCCCCTCTGCGGATGCTATGAGGATGAATGACGTGGGACACCCCAGGACCCTGCACTGCAGAGGGTTTGTAACGCCAGCGCCAGGTACCCCACAGCAGCCAGCAGCGGTGTGACGCTAACGTGCAAAAGCAAAGCTGCTTCCTCCCAGCTCTGTGCTGTACCCCGGGAGCATCACCTCGACTTTATTCCCAGGTATCGGAGGGGGCACAGCGTTGTGCCCAGCCAGGCAGCAGGTGCCACAGGGAGTGCAAGCACATCCCTCCCTCGCACCAACATCCTCTGCCTGTTTCAGCCAGTTCAGAGATCCCGGGATCGCATCCCAGTACGTGGTTGACACAGGGCGTTGTTTTGGCAGCTGGTTTATTTGAATATCGATCTTTTTCGCTTGGGGCTGCTGACTTGCTCCCTCTGATCTCTCAGTTCACAGCAGCAGTGTCTGTGCCCACACAAATCCCGCTGCAGCGGAGGGAGAGGGAACGTACGAAGCAGAAAATGTGGAGCTAAGTGTTGGTAAGAGAGTTCTGTTCTCTGCAGGGAAAATCAGGCCACAAGCTGCTCTGTGGAAAAGCTTCGTGGACTGCAAGATCGGAGCCCTAGCGGGAGCCTGGCCTGACGATGAGCTGCACACGTTGTGCCAGAAAGGCCATTACCAGCAGCGCTTTCTCAACCCTTTCCTCCTCTTTTCACCTCGCCTCCAGCTGCTGGCTGTTAAGACTCCTACCAGCATCCTCAACCCAGCCGGCCCCAGCGGGCCAGTGCGGCTTTCTCGCTGCAGAAAGCACCAGCACAAGCGAGAGGAGACAATTCATGCAGAGGAGAACACAACCCGAGCCAGGAGCTGCGTTCAACCCCGCAGAGATCTCAAGGGTGAAGGGTCTCCTTCCCTTTGCTCACGACCTGGGACATCCCTTTAACCTTTTCCTGATTTACACCCTCCCCTTGCTAATACAGACCAAGATCCCTCTGTGCTTTCCTCTCCTTTCCCTGGCTTACACAGACAGCGAGATCCTTCTGTGCTCACGCGCTCGTGTCACATCCAGCGGGCGTCCCACCACCGCTGGGGACCATCAGCTTCCCTGATCTTGGTGAGATGCAAGGAGAGGTTTGGCTTTGTCTGCACTAGGAAAAATGCCAGGGTCAGGTTTAACTAACACCCACCAGCAAAGCCTGAACTTCTTCCTCTCCCTGAAATATCAAACATCCACGGTTTGGATGAGGAAGCTGCTGGATGGCACATAAAGAGCAACACAGCAACACAGCAACGCGACCTCAGAGAAAAGCCTGGGCTGGTCGTGGCTCCAGCTCCATCAGCCTGAATTTTATCTCCTTTTCTGAGAACCCAGAAAGAGAATGAAGGAAGGAATAGCGGTATTTTGGGCTGGCTCTTTTTACTCAGTCTTGCTTTCCTGAGCCTGACTGGGGATTTTTGTATATTTTCGAAGCAAAAAAACCCAACCTCGATGGCCCTCCCAACACCATCCTAGCTGGTGTCACCAGAGGAAGAATTTTCACTCCTACAAAAGTGTTAGTGTTACTGAACTGTTGGGTTTGGTGTCGCTGGCGTTGGTGGCAGGGATCTGCTCCGCGGGGGTGACGTGCCAGCTGACGGCAGCGCTCGTTCCCACGCTCCAGCCCACTTGGGTCGCTCTCATGTTTCTCTCCTTTCTCAAGATACACACCCTGAAAAAAGGGTGGTTTCTAAGAAAAATGAAGGTCAGGAAAAGGCAGGGCAGGAAGCATGGACAGAAAACCTGGTTTATGCATCACTGCCCTTCAGCCAGGCTTCCTCCACTCCACAGCTGCAGTGACAGCTACTTCCAGCTGAAACCCTGGGACTTGACTCCCAGGAAAAAAAAAACCCCTAATAACATTTTGAGCTGAAAGAGGGGAGATTTAGAGGAGATATCGGGAAGAAATGTTTCCCTGTGAGGGTGGTGAGGGACTGGCCCAGGTTGCCCAGAGCAGCTGTGGATGCCCCATCCCTGGAGGGGTTCAAGGCCAGGCTGGATGAGGCTTTGGGCAACCTGGGCTGGTGGGAGGGGTCCCTGCCGCTGCTCGACCGGCAGCACACATGCCTCGGGCCAGTGCAATGAACTGAGACTGGACTGCGCTTCCAGAAGAGATGATATAAGAAGCAAAATAATTTTTTTTTTTTTTTTTTTTTTGCCTGGCTATGGTTCTTTAATACTAATTTCAGTGCTGTGCCTTTTCATTTATGGACTCGTTTGTCAATGTTCTTACTAATTGTTTCCCACTAAGTGAACAGCACTGGGCCACCCTCCTAATGTACTGCTGGCACTGCGTCGAGCCCTCGGTGTCTGAGTGGCAGATTTCTGTATGTGCTATCTGCAGGCTGAGCTGTGGTACCCAAGCGGGAAATATCAAAAGCAATCAAAAATATATAAAGTTCAATAAAAATAATTAAAAAAAAATACAAAAGCAAGCCAGCTGCTCAGCACAGGCCAGCTCCTGCTCGCACTGGAGTCACTGGTCAGCACTGGGCACTCTGCAGGGATCAAGAGCAACATTGATTTCTCTTGTCGAAGTTTTAATGGGAATTTCGCACAGCCCAGTGGCAGAACTGGGATCCAGAAGTTGGCTGCAGTCGAGTCAAGCACTGCTTGGCCACACTGCGCTCTTGACACCCAAGGTAAAGAGCAGAGGAGCTTCTAAAAGCTCAGACAGCAGGAAATATCAGGGGACAGCTAAACGGCATTTCAACAGTGACCTCCAGAGGGATTCATTAATCGTACCAGATCCTTTCCCTCTGCTTTGTTACGGAACATCACAGCACAGGCAACATGGCAACTGCATCCCTAAAAAATCACCTCCATCTTCAGAAGACAAAGGGAGAGACTCTCTGGAACAGTCTCAGCCACGTTGCCATCCTGTATGACCACGTAACGTACCGACTGCTCGGGAACGGCAAGGGCCAGCTTGTTAAAAACAAGGCAGCAGAACCAAGCTCTCAATGCAAAACACTGAAAAAGGGGTGAGAACGGGCAAGTGAGGCACACGGGGAAGAAAGAACTAAAACCAAGTCAAGTCTCATTAAAATCGCAGCTGTAGCACCAGCCACAACCAGAATAAATGAGGCCATGCAGCATTTACGATGGAAAGGGAGGCAAAACAAATGCATCAAACTTTGCTTTTAAGGCAGAAGTTGAGAAATTAATTTTAAAAAGCCAACACATACGGCCACCCTGGGGTCTGAAAGCCTCATCCACTGTATTCAGCGGAGCCACAAGGAGTGTCCAAACACAAAATACTCCAACAGAAGAAAATCTGTTCTGACACAGACATTAATGAGATTTCTGGCCACGGTGCAGCGTCGCTGGCTGCTGGGGACACACACTGCAGACACCCAACCCAGTCCTGGGGGATCCTGCACACGGGGTACACCGCACGAGCAGGACCACCCCGGGACTCTGCCTTGCTGTGCCACAGCCTCTTTCCAGCAGCACAACCACCACCGGTGGAAAAAAGTAACTGTGTGGCAGCAGCATCCCGTTCCAGCACCAACACTGGAATTGGCCAGGATTTGTAATCCCACCTCGCTCTTTGCACGATGGGTCTCCCAGCCCCAAGCATGATCCCAAGCGGTTATTTCACGTGGCACAGCCTGCGACACAGCGTGAAGATTTCAACCCCAGGAGGCGACAGTACGATCTCAAAAAAGCACCCCAAGTACCCAACACCATAGACAATACAAAAGTGGAGATTACACACACTCAGCAAAACCAGCACTTTTATTGGGAACATCTTGCCAATTCAGTACGGGAACAGGAATACTTGTTTCCATGAAGCTGTCCTGGTGCTGGAGAGCACCCAGAGGGCTACTTTCCATGAGGAGGATGGGATTGTTCTGGATTGTCTCAACTAGAAGCAGATGGAAAAAAAAAACACAACAAAAACAAAAAACCAAACAGAAGGACAAAGAACAGACATGCAGCCACAAAGTGTTAACGTACAAACAGTTACAACTGAGCACTTCAACTATGAGTCTTCAGTGAAAAGACAACCTTCAAATACAGTAAAAGAAACAAAACATGGTGACTTTCCAAACAGACCCACATCAGAGAGGTTAACTGGGAGCAGAGGAGAGCATAACGATGGCATTTCAACAACAAAAGAAAAGGGAGTCCTCTTCACCAGCTTCTCCCATGAGCCAAATCCATAAATACCCACCAGATCCAGAAAAATCTTTTTACCACAAGGGGAAAAAAGTATGGTGTAAGGGGAGATTTACTTGAATCAGACTCTTAGCCTACAGAGTGCAAAGCACAGGAGTAAGCGGGGATGTGAATTCGATTTCACTCTGCAAGCTGGCTGCAATGAAACAGGGACCCAACATTCAGTACAGATGGGAAAACACACACAAAGAAGTCCAAGAGGCTTTCTGAATCGTGGACTTTAAAAAAAAAGCTACCTATCTGCATGAGGAAAGATGCACAAGCAGCGTTACAGGAGGTTTTGTACATAACTGATTATAATTGAGCCCCTGAATTTGACGTGATCACCCAATCATATAGCTTAATTAGAGCAGCAATTAACTTTGCTGGAGTGCCCTGCAGTGAGCACACACTTCAGGAGCAGCTCTGAAATCACGGTTAGAACAGTCCTTCTGGGTAACGTAAATCACAACACAAGTTTTGACTCTAAGGGAAAGGAATAGCCTGGTGCCTTACGATAAGTAAATGAAGATGCTTTGTCTTGCATGAGAAGAGAATTTAAAACTTGCTTTTTTCGTCAGTTTTATTCATCAAGGCAGAGCAGCATCTCTTAAAATAAGGCTCAAACCTGGAGAAGGTTTCGAAATCACTCTGCCCGTCTCATAGCTGAGTTAATGGCTGGTTAACTCCTCTCCACTACGTAGCAAGTGTCCCTCTACACACAGCCAGCCCAAAGGTGCAGGGAGGCACCACAAACTCACACAACCCTGCTGCTGCACAGAACGAGAACCTGAACACAGGCTGCTCTGTGTCAACGGGGTTTTCACCTCTGGCTTCACTGAGAGAGGGAATTTGAAATGTATTTATGAGGAAGAAGGTAAGATGGTCAGGATTTTTTTTTTTCCTAAGAAACCACTTGCAGCTGATGCCTAGAATACACCCAAAATCAAATTGCTTTTCAAGTTGCAAAAGTATAAATATAACAGTGGGTGGATCCATTTTTAAAAAGTGTTGCAGCAAGATCTCTGCTAAATTCGACAAGTGAGAGGGGCCTGCAGAAAGTGTTTTATTCACTTTATTAAACAGGGGGTTTAGTTTATGCCCATTAAACGAATCAGACCTCCAGAATCAGCAATTACAATCCAATCTTTAAAGACACCGATACCCAGGAGACCACTGCTTTGCATTTTCAATTTAAAAGCGATGCAGAGTATCCCCAGAATTGTTCAGCTCTAGATACATATTCCTCTTTGTTTAGTCCTGCATGATTCAAATATTAAACAAATTGAAAGCCAGCAGAGCTTTGGGAAAAAAAAAACAACAATGAAATCCCAATCTTTCTGGCTGGTGGCTTTGATACTCCACTCTGGTTTGCCAGCGTGATTTCTTGCGTGCTGTAAATCTGCTTTTATAGTAGCGACTCTTAGATGCAATGTTGACTTTAAGTAGCCACCGTCTAACAACCTCTAACAAGGGAAAAATGACACTGCAACTGTTCTTCCTGCCCCAAAGCCTGACCCTGCAGGGAACCAAAGCTTTAGGTGAAGCAGAAAGGTCAAACTGAGTTCTGCACAGCGGTGAGCTGCCCTGAGAGTTCCTTGCAATGCGAGCCTGCGCTGAACCGGCAACAGACCACGAGAGCCTAGGCACAGGAGCGAGGTGGAGATGGTAGGAAACAGAATTGATTTTATTCCATCAACTGCAAGAGCACCGATGTAATGGGAGCTGAGGCAGGGCATGGTCAGGACACAGCTGTTGAAATGCAACCCAGCAGGACAAGCGGGCATGCACACAGCCAGCTTGGACTTTGTCACTGCTGCAACTGGGGCAGAGCAAGCGGAGAGGCCACCGATGGCAGAGGAGCCCCAGGTACCCCGGGAAGACAAAGTGTCTCGCTGGCAAGGTGTAGCCTGTCCCATGAGTTTGCAACCAAGTAAATCATCTCGTTATCTCACTGGTGATGCTGCTCCTTCCAGTCTTCACTGGACCCCCAAACATCGAAGCCCTAAACTCTGCCAAGTGAATCGTGTTCCACTGAGTCCCAACTACAACCACCAGCTTGGGTGTAAAACCAAGAGAGATCACCCCAGCGTGACTCTGAGCCGCTGATGGCCTTTGTGTGACAAGTGAAGGGCATACGGGTCACAAGGCACTGGTTTTGTGGGAAGAAAACTACTTTTCTGGTAAATCGTGACTAAGACTATTCTCTTTCTCGTCATTCCCAATTGCTTTGATGATTTCACATAAAGCGTGGACATAACCCTCTAGAGAGCTGATATGGATCCAAAGGGACTTACCCAGAACAGCGGAATTGCCATCACCCAGCGGGAACCTCTGGTAACGGGGAACATTAAAAGGGGGCAAAAGGTAGAACTTCCTCTCCAGCAGAGGCTCGAGGCGTGAAGCAGACGGGTCTGCAGGGTGGAACAGGTTATAGACCTGCTGACAAGCTGGTCTGAGCTGAAAGACTAAAAGATGGAGAAAAAAAAAAACACCTCTCAAGTATCAAAAAGGTTATTTGTTAGATTACTGTAAATATTTGTCAGTAAAAAAGGAAAACTGTTGGCTTAAAAAAAAGTGCTAGGGATTTATCATCTCCCTCACCTTCCAGTTCAGTCAATTGAAGCAATATATTATAACATTTATAGACTCCAGAATTGCCCAGTGTTTTTAATGGTTGGAAGTACATTGTAAATAAATTGTATAATCAGCACTGGCTAGAGCACAGAGTGATCCGCTTCTTTACAGTGCAATAAATATTACATAGAAATGTTCCGTTTTCACCCGTTTGTCTCATCAAATTACCGCATTTGCAGCAGGAGGTGCTTACACCACCCGCTAAGCGAGCGCAGCAGCTCACATCAGGACTTACTGTCGAGAGCTGGAATGACAGTTTTGCGCAGCGCAAGAACCAGACCCAAGGGAGAACCGAAGAGGAAGAAGTCGGTGATCTCAAATTCAAACTTTCCAATATTTCCTCCATCCAACATAGTGGAGCTACTCGATCGCCTGGACCCTGGGTCATTCCTCAGAACACTAGAATGTAAACTGGGACAAGAACAGAAAATCAAGTCAAAATTTCATTCACCATGTGTTTTCATAATTTAAGGCTGGATAAGTGAATGACAGTGAATAGAATTTTTCTGTCTTTAGGAAAAACCTGCATCAATCAACCCACCAGCCAGCTAAACATCCCCCCAAACAATTACCCCATTTCACCGGCATAATTTAGCCTGCGTGGGTTTATCTCCTCAAAATAGTTTTTTTTCCGAGGAGTCAAAATCTTGGTTGCTGCTAGCAGATTAGTCATTTGCAAACTAAAATAACCAGCAAACCCCAACCAGCGGAGTACCAGGGAAAGAAGCAGGTTACAGGGATTCACTCCACTACACACGTCACCGCTACGGCTTCTGGCTGGCAGCATTTGAGTTTCTTCCGTCGTCTTACTCTCAAATGTTACAGAAAGCTGTGCTTACCCATTTCTTCTTCGTGGAAGTAGTTGGACAAATGTTATGGGATTAAAAAGGAAAGAGAAAAAGAAAACGGGAGGGGGGAGAGAAAAAGAAAGATCAACATCTGCAGGAGGGTTTCTAATATCTCTGTGCACCCAGTTTGCACCACAGCTTGCGTGCGCGGCATTCACTGGGGACGGGAATTTGGGGTAATGAACCCAGCAGCCACGTGGTGAATTGTATTTATCATGCACCCAGGACTCTCCCGCTTCTCTTCTGCCCGTGAGGCCACGTCTGTCGAGTTGTTACCAAACCACCTCTCAACCTCAGCCCAACAACTCCAGGTGACTGTACTTAAGAAAAAAAAAATATATATATATAAAACATGCCTAGCTTTCCCCCTCTCTTTCAGGTGTTAAATCTGTCTGTAAAATTCACCCTCTGTGCAGCACAGGCTGGGCAATACGCAGGTTTAGCACCGAGATTTAAATTCACATTTCCCTTGGACACCGAGGAAGAAGAAACTCTCAGATGAAAATCCTGGGAATCCACCCCCACGTTAGGAAGAGGTGCTTCTCAGCAGTCTAGAGCTGCGATTAGACAGCAAAGCGACAAATGTTTAATAACCTGGTTCACAAAAGGGTTTCTGAGATTCTTCTGTTACCACCCAGAAGCAATAAGCTGCAATTTCTTTTGCTCTCCAGGCTCTACAGATTCAGACGGCAGCCTCGCTGGGTTTTTGTCATTACACTTGGCAGCGTCAGGGTAACAGCTGGACTTGATGATCTTAAGGGTCTTTTCCAACTTAAATGATTCTACGATTTTACATTCTACTCAAATTAGAAGTGGAGAGTTGAAGACAGAGTACCAGGGTGTTTGCAAACACTTTAAAAAGCATCTGAACAGGTTCTGTAAGATATGTAGGATACAGGGATACCACAACAGTTGGGCTGGATAAAAGGTTTACTGGGCTGGAGTCAGGAATGATGCAAATGCAACAGGTTGTCGCCAGCTCTGCGCCCTCAAGGCAAAATCCCAGGTGGTCCCCAGCGCTTGCCGTGTCTCCGTATGCAGTGGCACTTGCTCATCAAAGCCACCTCTGAAGGCAGCGGTGTCCCAGCACTGCTGTGCTCATGGGAACAGGGCTGCTGGCTCCCCACCACCTGCAGCGCCGGAGCAGCAGCTCACACACTCCTCCGGGACAGCCGCTCAATAACCGAGCAGCTGCAAACACTCACAAACTGGGGACAAAAAATTCAATTCACTTGGACTTGGTTTCCCTGCTCTGGCAAATAATTCATCATCCCAGAGACAGCACCACCTCTGCTAAACGCCACTCCCAAAGGATGCTAAAAACCTTCTTCTCATGCCACGCTGCCGCGTATCCTCTCCAGGTGAAGGCAGACACACAGCACTATGCCGGTTACCATCCGCAGGGAAGTGACAACCTGATTTATGCCAGACACACACATCACGGAGAGTCAAAACAGCGATGTCAAAAGCCAGAGGAACAGGAGGTTACAGCAGCGACAGCTCAAATGAGCATGTTCCCATGTCTGCGATGGGAACGCGTTCCCCGAGATCACGCTGCCAAGGCGCACAATGCTGGAACACATTTCAAAACAAGCCACCTTCAGCGAAGCTGCAATTCAGCTGAAAGGACTGCAACGCACTCACAGTTTGCTGTGTGTAAGGAATAGCAAGGCAGCTAGAACACGTTCAGTTTTGCTGAAGACAAAGCCACAGCGATGCGATTCAAAGGAAGGCACAAAAGGAAAGAACGACCCCGACGGCCGATGCGTTAGGGCAGGACAGGGACAAGGGGTTTGTGTGTATCCCACCCACCTTTCCCAGGGCACCTCTTCGTGGGGAATGGGAGCACTCGTACTGCTAAGCAATTTGGACAGCTTATCAAGTTCCCAGGAAAAGTAGAGAAGTCTTTTTAGCAATGAAAAGAAACGAGCCAAGGGGAACTCTGAACCCGTCATGCTCCAACCAACCTCCAGTGCCCTGTTCTCCCTCGAAAAAGCAGCAGATGTACTGTGTGCATTCATTAAACCAGAGCTTATGGATTTCAGAAGCAAATCGACTCATTTACAATAATACAAGTACAGCACAGCCAGAAATAATGTAGTTGTGCAGAAGGACTGAATTTAAAAATAAATGTGTGATTGTAATCTCCAGATGCTGCTCTGGCTTGCTGGGCACTATCCCAGAGAAGCGGGAAGGGCTGATAGATTAATAAAAACGAGTGGCTTTGGCACCCGCTGAAATCTGCCATCGGCACGGACAGCAAGGGCCCCGTATGCCCGGCGGCCCGTCTGCTGAGCCCGTTAGGAAATCTTGGCTCTGTTCTGCACAAAGCTGTGTCACGGCAGGGCTTGGTTTTTGTACGGGAAAATAATTCCTTGGTGACAGAGAGGCCGAAGGGGAATCTGCTGATGAATGTGCTGCTCGGCGATGACGGCTGTGAGCACTAGGGCCAGGGTCAGGTCCGGGTGTGACGCCCTGCTGTCACGCAGGAGGGGACGAGGTGAATCCCTGCACCCGAGCATCCCCGGTGCCAGGGAGCGGAGGGGAGAGACGCGGAGAGAGGCTGTACAGCAGCATCAGCCTCTCCCCGAGGGAATCTGGCTCTTGAGCTGCGGGGAGAGACTCCTTTTTGACCCAAGGTCTAAAGGTAGATGTAAAAAGACATAAAACTCTCAAATAAGTGAAGGTGCACCAATCCATCAGCGCACCAAACACCGACAGCCCTCGCCAGGCGTCCCCCAGTGCTTCATGTTGGGAGTGAGCACAACCCCCTGGAGAAGGAGCAGGAAGGACCAGGACGAAGCTGTTTGAAACAACAAACTGCCACCCCTTGGCCACGCCAGGGCCAGCGCTTGTTCTTAACTGGATATAAAACTGCAGCAAGATGCCAGCCTGCTTCCTTAGCCCAGCCCACACCCCCGAGGTGAAGAACAAGAAGGAGAAAGAGCGCATTTTTGCACAACCAGGATTTTCTCCTGTAATACCAGAGGATAGGTATGGATAAGGTATGAACAAGAGACTGATTGCCTTTTATTAACCTGCTGGAAATAGCCCAGAAGCTTATTGTGGATTTTGGAAATGCAGCTGTCTCTGAATATAGTATCTCAGTGCACCACTGACATTCACTTTGACACCTTCTCTCTCCGATGAGCCTTTTACAAAAGTCCTGTGCTAGAGCAACGATGGCAAGTAACGAAGGAGGGGCAGAAGCGTGGGACAAGCCTTCAGCTCGGCACAGGGCAAAAGGAACAGCCTTGGGCACCGCTGCAATGCAGATAATGGTGTTTGCTGGGGGTGGGGGCGACACGTTGCTCCCCAGTACCGGGGACATGGGGGAAAAGAGGTTAAGAGGATGCTGGAGTTTCTCCAGGCATGCAGGAGGAGAAGGTCTGGGCTGTCCAGTGCCACAGGCTGGAGATGACTCAGCCAGAAAAAGCCTCGGGGCTTACAGAAGTAATCCCTGAATGATCAGCAGTGATGGAAAGACTGCTGTGAAAATTTCATCGGTTATCTTAACGGATACTTTTCTGAAAGTCCATTTGAAGGAGCTGAGGAATGTGGTACTGGGCACCTTGATAGTAACAAATTTGAGACGTGACCTTGGTGCAACGGAGCAGCCCTGGCAGGGGACAGAATACAATCCCCCGTCCCTGCTCCACGCAGGAGACTTGGGTTGAGACTTTGCCAAATAGTCGCACAATGCGTGCAGTTGAGGGTTGCTCCATGCACCAGCCAACCAGCCAGGGCTCAGGATGTCTCATCCAGAGCACCCTGCCAGCATGACACCAGAAACCTGCTAGGAAAGGGCATGGCAATTGAATCTCACACTTGAACTGGGGAAAAATTAAAGGATGCTCGGCTCACTCCCACCTTTCCCAAGAAGAGGCCAGCCAACTCAAAAATCAGCTTTCAGAGATGCTTTGAAATCAATACAACAGACTGCTTCACCGTCTTCCTCCATTTCCTTTCTGACCCCCACCCTGCACTTGCAGCACAGCACAAAAGCAGCTACCTGCCTGCCTGCCTTGGTGTCGACCAACAGCATGAAGGGCTTCTTGCCATTGCAACACAGATGCAGTAGAGCACCTGGATTCTTTTGTTGCCACTCAGCAAAAGTGCCGTTAATTTTTTTTTTTTTGCGTATACAACACCCTGAAATCTATACTCCTCCAATCTAAATTAAACACTTTCCTCCACCCTGCTTATCACAGGATGACAAAGCAACATTTGGGTTTCACAGATGAAATCTCAGCTCCAGAATATTGCTCCTTCTGTTCCTTCAAAATCTTACCTTGAAAGAAAGGCTTGATGCTGCTTTATCGTGTCCAGTTCATAGGTTGATGAATCGCTCCTTTTTCGTGGCAGCTGCTTCTTTGGATCTTCTCCGTTGCTACGGGGAATATCGATGTTGCTCCTGCTGAGGTGTCTGCTGGCTTCCAGATTAGAGCCACTGGAACAATAGCTGTTGTTCACCGTTATCCCAGGAGACAGGAGGTCAGTATCCTGGGATTTAATATATAAGGATTTATCCGTCCAACAGCCAAATCAGGAATACACCCACATTATATCCTTCTCCTTCCATCCCCCTTTCCCCACTGACCCCAAGATCCAGCTGAGGGCAATACCGTAACTCAGACCAAACCCCTTCCCGAGGGTGTGGGTAACGCAGGCGTGGACGATGCTTCATACCGGAGGGTGAGCATCCCTGCTCAGAGCAAATGCACCCGAACCGAGACACACCTGCACCTTAAGATGCGTTTGCCATTAATAAGGAAGAGAGTCTTTCTGGTTTCACGAGAAGATCCTTAAAGAAACCAGGGGCCACGGAGGCAGTGTGGCCAGCAGACCTGTTCCCAGCAGACACTGGGAGCCAGCATTACCTGGACACTCACAACGCTTCCTCGCCGGCTGCTGTTCTGGCTCTCGGACACAGTCTGATTGCTGTAGCATAAGGCATCAAATCCCAGGATTCCTCCAACACAGTCCCCTACCAAGCAGACCTGGAAAAGGCAACAGAGGAAAGGGAGGAGGAAAAAAAAAAAAAAAAGCCCCTTGACTTCAGTTTGGAGATGACAACTAAACAGAGTGCTGGACCATACCCAGGAAGGCTGCAATAGCAGGATGCCCAGCGCTTTCATCAGCAAAACTGTTCTGTCAATGAACAGCCACTCATACCCTGCAGACCCTCGTTAGCTAACGCAGCCAATGTGTTCTGGCTGTCCTCACCAGCCCACCGGAGCGAAGGGAAAGCAACACAGAGCACCCAGCACAGCTCTAACTCCAGCCTCAGAAAACCAAGCTTCACTCCCTCCCTGCCAGCTGTCTGTGCTACTCCAGGCAAGCTTCCCTGGGCTTCTGCTCCCTTGTAAGCCCTGAGGAGACAACGCTGTCCTGCCTCCAAGGGTATTGATCAGGGAGACACAATAAAGTACTGAGACCCACGGGCAGGAGAGGGCTGGATGGGCCCCGGCACAGCGCTGGCTGGGAATAAGCTCATGGTGGAGAAATGTCACTACAGCGGGGCAACGTGAATCATAGAATCATTAAGGTTGGAAAAGACCTCAAGGATCATCAAGGTCAACATCAACCCAACAGCTCAAACCTCCTGGGGCCAGAGAGTCCCTCTGCTCACAGGTGTGAGGCTCAGTGATGGTATCTTACAGGGTACAGCAGCCACACCATCTCCAAAAAGAAACCCACTTCTGCGACAACCCCAGCAGGAGCTGCGGAAGGTCCTTAACAGCTGGGAATGCCTGAACAGCCCTGGTTTGCCATGGGAGCAGAAATCATGTTTAGTGACAAAGCTAGCAGTCCTGATTGGGAAAGGTGTGTCATGCTGAAAATTGATTAACTTCTCAGCTTTGTAGCTTCATTCCTGAACACAAGCTCAGACTTTGCTTTGAATCCCAAAGGTTCAAGGCAGAGAACAAGCAATAATCTCTCTCTCAGAAAGAAAGAAATAGAAGCACAATGCTTTCTTATTGCAGCTCAACACTGTCGTGCTTCCATCCCTCCTGAGAGATTAATGAAAAAGAGAGCTTCAAACAGCCGTGGGCTCACCTGGCCGTTGAACGACATGCCCTCCTGGGATCGGATGAACTCGCTGTACGCCTGGTTGGCTCTGACGATGACGGCAGCTACCGCATCTTGGTACTGGGGGGATGACGTTGCGAGCAGAGGGAGTGCAGCAAGGGGAATGTGGTCCTGGCTGTTGGACAGGCAGCCTTCGTCGTAACTGTACGGGCTGAGGCTGGAGAGGGCAAGAGACGTTGGAAATATTCAGCCTAACGCGCAGAGTGGGGAAAGCTGTTTGCAGACAGTACAGTCAGTGTTGCGGTTCGTTAAAAAAAGCCTCGAGATAGAAAGGCCATTTATTCCACTGTGAACGGGTGAGAGCTTAATAAATCTCTCTCCCATTAAACGTAAATCTTCAAGGACAACATACTTACATTGATAGAACAACCCTCAGACAAGGAATTAAAGCCTCAGTATTTATTGGATTAATTAGAATAAATCAATCTCAGAACTCTTGCTGCATGATTTCTGTATTCACTGCAGCTAAGTATGAAATCGGGATTGAATGCTTCGCTTGTAGATTAATAAGTGCATTCTCAAAGCACGCTCAGAGCTTTCAATACTACATGCAGAACTTTTCAGGGATGCAAGAAACAAAAAAACAAGAGTGAAATTTTATACCTTTCTCCCTGTGACAAAGCAGCATCAATTTACCTGGACACCAGTGAAAACGCCTCGGAGCAGATGGCCGGGCAGGGGACCAGCCTGATGGCAATGTGTCCGAGAGCAGCTGGGTAATGTACCCTCATCACCGTGTCAAACACTGTCGCGATGGTGTTGACATCCCCTTGCTTGGAGCTCTGGTCACCACTTCCTGAGTCCAGGATGTTCCCTCCGTGGAGCACCAAGAGGAGGACGTGGATTTTACTTGGCTGCATTAATGGCTGCACTGATTCATCCTGGGCGGCAATGAAACAGCAGAAAGGCTGATTTTGCAAAGAGGTTGTATTTGGTCCAAATGCCTTTTATGCAAGCTTTATAACCTTTTCTCCCCCCAGCTCACACATGGTGTGGACAATAAATGCACCATCCCCATCGAGGCAACCCTCCATCTGTGAGCAAGGTATTTCCAGCAGGAACAGCCGTGAGGCTTTGGGCAACCTGGGCTAGTGGGAGGTGTCCTGCCCATGGCAGGGGGTTGGAACTCGATGATTTTTAAGGTCCCTTCCAACCCAAACCATTCTGTGAATCTACGATGGCAAGCCCCCATCTAGAAGGCTGTGTTCAGCTTGGGCCACCCCACATGAACATAACTGCAGCGACAGAAGAACCACAGAAGGACAGGCAGCACGGAGACTTTCTGAACTCTGAAAGAGTATTAGATCCACCTGGATGTAACAGCGGAGAACCTGCCTACTCCTTGCAGGTCTCCTGTCCCACACGTGTTCACGCACAGACGCGCACCCAGCCTCAGCATCGCTGACTGTCCTCAGCAGAGGCAATGCTGAGAGCAAAAATAATAATAAAAAAATGGCCTAAGATTGTAACCAGGTAAAATACGGCAGCAGTAAAGACGTTACTTGTGTGCATTAGGGTGGAAAAATGAAGAAAAGATGGGTGTTGCTTTCCGTCGGGGTGCTGAGCTCAGCTGCAGCAGCTGACAGTAAAACCCATTCAGCAAAATTAACAAACGAGCTCAAATAGGTCAGCAAGCGGCAAGCTACTGGGGAAGGAAGCTGTAGGAAGAGATCGGTCATTGCATCTACTCGCCTAGACAGAAGTTATAAATAAGACTCCAGATTTGCTTATACTGCTGCAAAAGAGGAACCGAAAAGAAAAAACTTCAAGACCCTTGTGGTAGCAGAACATTTGAGACCATCCTGGCAGCTCCCTGGTAGGGCAGAGAAACAGCCACCCAGAGGGGGTGTGGAAGGGGTGGAGGGCGGCAGAATTTTCCATTTGACAAATTCTTCCCATTTCAGCATCTTTAGTCAACTGTTGTCCTTTGAGCAGTGACTGAGCCCCTGACAACCCTGCCGGTGGGAGGGGAGCATGCCCAGGCACACATTAGCAACCTAACAACTGGCTTATGTTTTCACCAGATAACATTAAAGCATGTCTTAATGCACAGCCCACCAGAAGTATTAAAATTCACATCCAAGTCTGTAATAAAGATTTTCCAGACCTCCTGCGTAAGAACAGCCTTTAATTATTTAGCACCACTCCCCTGTATTAATGCCAGCTCTTCAAACCTTCTCCCCTTCCAGCTTACAGCGCCTGCAAAGTGAACTTTTGCCTGGCTGGAGGCATGGGAGGGGGGCTCTCAGCGCTTGCTTTTGCTTTCAGGCAAATGTCTTAAGTGCTCATTTGGAGAACAACATGAGTCACCAAGCTCAGGTCATCCAGATGTTTATCAGCAGCCATTTGGAGGCACCTTTCCCTTTCTGTTCATTAACCTCTGCTCTTGAAGGAAGTGGCCAACATGCAACTGAGGATTAGTTGAGGGGTGGAAGCGGCTATTTAGAACGTTTTTGTAAAATCTGGAGTCTCTTAAGACCCCTGATTCTTGAACTGCCTTTTGGTGATGGATGCTCTCAGCCTGACTGCAACGGTGGCTGGGAATTTCTCAGTGTTTTATCAGACTCTTTGTGAACAACTACAAATAACTGTCTTTTCCATCTCACTTTGAAAGTAATGGGAGGGGGTTGAGTTCGTACAGCCCTCTGAAGAAAACAAGTCTTCCACACCATCTTGAGCTCTAAGAGAAATCTCAGGGCTGTGACTTGCTTATCTGGAGGTGGTTAGAGCCATTCCCATGCCCAGCCACTCGATCTCCCCATGGCCCTTGAGCTCTCAGTCTATTAAAAAAAAGCCAAACCACCGTGAACCTACAAGCCTGGCACACAGAGCAATACCAAAACCACGCTCACGGTCTTTGATAGATGTAACTCAGGCACTCTGTGAGCAGCTCCATCACCTCTGCAGCACAGACAGACCGACGCGTTACGGGCAGGATGGGTACCG